GGGAGTCTCCAGGGTCGCTGCTGCCCATTTCTGGTCTTGTGGCCCCATCCAGTGGCTGCTAGCAGAGGACTCTCACTTCCCTGTCACCACCATGTGTCCCCTGGCAGCCCGGCTCCTGCGGAGCCTGGGAACCAAGGTGGTCCCCCGAGCATCAGCAGCCGCCAGCGCCGGTGACTCGGCCGGGTCCTCCAGGGAGGAGGTCTCCAGGTCACTGCTGTCACCTGCAAACTGGAGAGGAGCACAGAGAGGGTGAAAGGGAGCAGCAGGGCCGGACCCACTCCCCACGTTTGCACCCTGTGCCCCCGCCCAGCTAGAAATCCACAGGGATTCCTGCGCCATCAGGCTGATGCAAAAATTAGAGCACAGAGGGCCAAACGTGGTTGCATCAGGACACCAGAAGAGACCATTTCTCCATTTCCATGGCTTGCAAGGTGTCCCATAAACCTCTTGTTTCCTTTTTTTATTGTTTGTTTTCGTTCTTTATTTTTTACTTTGCCAGATGAAGGCCTGGAATTTGCAATAACAACACCACCACCACCAATCTTCCCAGTATTTCTGCCAGGGCTTCTTTGGGTAAAATATTTTAAACTTTTTTTTTTTTTTTAAAAGCAATTTGCTTCTGACACTGCCACCACTTCATTTACATCAGCTCTCCCCCATAAATTGAGGTTATGTTTAAGTCTCATTTTAATAATTTAATAATTTCATCGTTGCATCACTCCAATTATCTCTGGATTTGTTCCAGAGACCTTTGCTCGATTCGTTTCTCTGGCGCTCACTGTTTTGCTCCCAATTGCATGAATACTGATTTTTTTTTTTTTTTTCCCCCTTCCTAAAGAGGGTGAATGGACAAACATCAGGGGAAGGACAGACATCTGCAACTGGATGAAGGGACCAAGGGCCAAGTCTCCACTGCTGCAAGTTTGAACTCCCTGCACACAGGCTACGCCCTGTGGCACTGCCGATGGATATGAGCAACGAAGAGAGTTTGACGCACCTCTTTTTCCTGGAAATTATGTCAGAGAACACCGCTGTGGCCATTTGCATGAGATACCTGGAGTTTCTTGGTGGGCTGACTGGTTTTTGGCGATGCCGAGCTCAGGGCTGACGAGAGTTTCACTCCACTGGGCAGTCTCCGTGCCTCTGCATCCAGGCATCTCTCCAAGCGCCGCACAATCGTGGACATGGCTGTCCCTGTGCAGGGCAGCACAGGTTAAACAGGGAGCCCCAAGGCAGGGTGGTGGCATAGCTTGGTGAGAAGGGAGAGGCCCACCAGCTGCCCCAGGGGAAGTTGGTTTCCAAATAGCTTAAACTCAGTAGCACTATCTGGACCCGTCCCAATGGAGCTGTTTCAGGAAGCAAATGTTCTTTCCATACAATAAAACATGGGTGGTTTCCCTTCTGGAGTAAGCGCCGGGTGGGTAACTCTCCTGTGCGTGCAAGGATGCTGGAGGAAACCTCCATGCATACACCCAGTCTGGGCGAGCGGTCTGTGGCAGAGCACCGACAGCTCTTTTTTGGCCTGGGACACACCAAAGCCACACACAAGGAGTACCTGCTGCTGTCGGCAGTTAACACATAGGCAAGAGGTGCCCCCCACTGCCCCCCCAACTCTCCAGGGCTCAGGAGCAGTCCCCACCTTGTCCCCTGACACAGGGTTTTACAGCATATAACTGACAGTTAAAACAAGCTTTCCTCTTGTGTTTGGCTGCCCTTTGGGTCCTGTGGCATTTCATCATCCTCTAGACAGTCTGGTTTCCCTCTGTGTAAAGAAACAGCCGCAGGATTTATTGTGCCTTAGGAGAAAACCCTGGCAGGGTGAGCCACACACGTTGCAGATGGTTAAAGCCACCAGTGTCCCATTGCCTGGTTGGGTATGGGGAATGGTGGGGTAAGACTTGTCCCACTTCAGCCCTGGGAAGAAGGTAACTCAGCACCACTAATGGTGCTAACCGGCACCTTCCCCACCACCTTACTGACCCACAGTGGTTGCTATGAGAACAGGTGATACCTGAACCAGCCAGTTCCTCCAGGGAGTCCAAGTCTGACACGTCGGAGTCAGTCTCATCCCCTGGCACCACTGCAGAGACCCCCAGCTCTTGCCGAGGGCTGAGCTTCATGGGGGAAGGGGAGGGTTTCTTCTCTCCCAGCTTAGCTTCTGGTCTGGTACACAGAGAGACGGGTCAGGCGTGGGGTTGCTCTGGCATTCCCCTTCCCCACTCCAGAAGCAGATGCAGGGAAGCCCTGCGATGCTCTGGGCTATGATCCAGCCTGAGCATGGCAGCCCGTGGAGAAGCTTGGCATTCCCCATGGACATGGACAGGTCCATCACACCCACTGACTGCAAACACCTTACTGCTAGCGTCTCCTAAAAATACTCACCTCGTACCTTGTCTGTGTTTGGTATAGCTTTGGTTGAGTTTAAAACCTAGATCTGGCTTTCTCTTGTTTCTGGAGCAAACCAGTAACTCCTTTTCCTTGCCTGCTCTCGGCCACAGATGAGCTTCTCTTCCTCTCTGCTGACATCTCACACCCTCTCCACGTGATTTCTTCTCTGCACAGTCTGCACTGTTTCTCCAAGCTTTTATTTTACATCTTTACTACTTTTGCTCCAAAACCACAACAGAAGTCCTTCTTCCCCCCAAAGAGGTTCTGGGAGGGGAAGCAGGAGCTAATACCAGTGGGAAATGCCCTGTATTTGTCTCCAGCACCACATGGTGGGATGCAAGCCTGCAGGTCTGACTTTGATGAGTTGTCTGAGTCATCTCACACAGGCAGGGAGACCCCAGGAAATGCTTTTTCCACACAAACTCCTCTGGGGTGCCACATCACCCACCATTCAGCAGCTTCCAAAGGTGCTGGTATTTGGGCAATGCTCCGCATACTCGGGGCCAGGTTGTGCCCAAGGGTCCTGGGCACTGCCCACCTGCCTGGAGACTGAAAGGAGGCGATGAGACTCACCTTCGCTGTGGAACAGGTGCTCTGTGGGACCTGCTGGCTTTGGAGGTCCACAGGGTGCCCCAGGGAGTCCCGGGGGGGCTGTGGGTGGAACAGGCCTTGCTCCAAGGAGCTAGCTGGGGGATCACCGAGGCTTTAGGCTCTACTACAGCTGGTATCACCATGGGCTGTGACCCACGAAGGGACCTGGGTCTCTTCGGGCTTTGAGCTGGAAGGCAATATTGAGAGCAAGGAGCTTCACCACCTGCCTCCTAGTAGTCCTGTGGGCCACCCTTGAGGGAGCCATGCAGCCCGCCCAACATGGGGTTGTGTAGAAATGAGGAAAAAGCCCACTCTGCTGGGGCTTTTGGGGATAGCTGATGTTTTTTTCCTGAACATGCCAGGCCAGCCCACATGAGGTCAATAAGCAGAGAGCAACTGCAGAGACTTGCATCACCCTAAATGCTCTTCCCTGCCCTTTGTTTGTCTTGTTGTCTCACTGGGTAAGGGAACGGCATCCTATAGCCATCAGTGGGTGGCCACAGGTCCCCATAGTTGGTAAGTAGAGAGAACAGGAGGTCACTTCACCTTGGATGACGGAGCGCTGTTGAGGCAAAGTAGTGCTGGGTTGCTTGCATCGCCTGACTTTCCCCATCACTGCTTGGACCAACTCATCCCTCAGGTGGAGGAGACCAGGAAATTTCTCAGCCTTCTGTTGCTGCTGAAGCCTGACCAGAGCCTGAAGGCTTTTATAAGTCCGAGTGGAGATCCCCTTCGCAACCTAAAGCAGAGGATGGCTGAGGAGCCTGACATGGTCTTTCCACAGTGCTGGGCGGTGAAACAAGCCCTCAGCAGCACTGTCCATATCTCAAGAGTATCCTGCAAACTCCAAGCCCTGTCCAAACCCCAAGGAAGCTCTCACCATCCCTGACACCCATTATTTCCACAGAACAACTTATCCCATGCAAACAACCCACATTTGCAAAGCCCTCATCTGCTTTGGTGAATGACTGCTGAGGAATAAATCTCAGCTATTTTGGGCAATTTCTAGGCCACAGGGTAAGTGCAGCATTTTCTCTTGGGAGATATTTACAGCTTGAGGAGGCTTTGTGACCATGAATGTCCTGGGCTTGTAGAGATGTAAAATGATAAGAAGTCAAAGGTGAAGGGGGGGTATCTGCCTGTGGATCTGGCTTTGGCCACCTCCGTCTCTTTTGACACCACCTCAGCATTCCCGAATAACATGCTGGGGAAAGGGGGGACATGCCAGGGCTCCAGTCTACGTGAAATGAACCCAGAAGTGCTCATTAAAAGCACCTCCACAAAATAATGGCACGAGAAGTCATTCAGTCACTGCTTTCTCTTTGTGCCTTCGGGACCCGAACCAGAAACGCAGGTGGATGGAGCAACACGGGTCCCCAACAGCAGTGCCTGCTGCCTGCCTGCTCACTGCCCTTGCATCAGCTCTGCAAGGTGCTAGGTGGTGGTGTTGCATTGCCGGGAGCGTTTGTGGGAGGTAATATTTAATATGCTTGGCATGAAAAGGACTGGGACAGTGAAAGTCCCCTTGAAATCCCTGTGACAGGGGCTGCTGTGCCCTCAAACACCCTCCTTCCCTAGAAGAGAGGGAGCCCTGGGTAATTTAGCATATGAAAGGCTGCTTGTGAGAAAGATTTGCTGGAGAGATACTAATAGCCAACCTCAGAGATGGGAGCACGGCAGTTTATTCCCTGTGCTACTGCGTGATTCTGCCTCCACCTTCCCATTGCCTCTCAGGGTGTGATTGCTCCAGATGACCAACCTCAGAGATGGGAGCACAGCAGTTTATTCCCTGTGCTACTGCATGATTCTGCCTCCACCTTCCCATTTGCCTCTCAGGGTGTGATTGCTCCAGATGGGGTCTTTTTTCACTGCCTATTAGTGTTGTGGTTGCTCCCCCCTCCCCCCCAAATCAGTTCAGAGCAGTCTTTGTGTCCCTGCACCAGCTCAGGGCTGGCATTGCAAATGCTGGCACTGAAAGGACAGACTTACCCTCTTGACCCCCATGCTCTCCAGCTTTTTCCGCAGCTCTTCCTCCAGGATGGGGCGAAACTGCTTCAGGAGGTTTGGGTTTATCTGCAGGGCTACCAGCAGCCTCTGCTTCCCACCCAGGGTGGCCTCCTCCCTGTCTGGAGTAAAGGTGGGTGCTGGTACCAGCGTATCAACGCATGGGCTGTGCCCTGGGGAGGGGGCTGGTGAGGCCCTCCTCTTTGAGGACATGGGTCCCATCAGACCCAGAGCAAGCAACTGCTTGCTCTCAGCAGACTGCATCCCTCTATCAATGGGCAGCTTCCTCCTCTAATTTGATTAATTCCTGCCTGCAGCATTTCCTAAGTTGCCACCCATAGCCCAGAAGCTGCCTGGGACAGCTTGCGTAGTCTGCACAGCCAAAAGGCAACCAGTGAGCTCATCCCCTCTGCCCCCAGCCCACCACCTATTCACCACCAGCTCTGCCCAGCACCCCTTCATCCTCACCACACAACACCCCAAGCCAAACACCAGCTTCATCCTGGTGTTCTCAGAACAGGGATGGTCCCAACTCCAGTACTCACCTGGTGACTTCCCAGCAGCCACCACTTTGGTCACCTCCCGGATCACTGTAGGGAAGAAAGGAGCCTGTGAGAGTCAAAGAGGAGAGGAGGCCCCAGCGTAGAAGCAAGCGCTGATCACCACCTGGTTTTCCTGTATGGGAAGTATGGACAGACTTGTCCTTTTGGGGAGCCAAGGCTGGCCCAAGTCTAGCACCAGTCCTTGGAGGACATCCCCAAGGGAAGCCCGGTGTGCTTTCCTGCCAAGGCCACCAGCTAGAGGATGTCAGTGGGAAAACAGCCCTCTGCCACCCCTCAGGGCTGGGGTGAACGACGTACCCCTTGGGTATTTGCTAATAACCATCCCTATTTTATGGCCTTTTTTGTTTTCTGAGCAGCAGCACCTGGCCGGGTCTGCGGCTGCACTGTAGGCACTGGGGAGATGAGAAGTCCCCATTTTCTTTCCCTGGCACTTGATTATAGAAAACCCAGACTGTAAAGCAGAAACGGCAGCATGCCTCAGCTCCTTATTTTTATGCAAATAACCACTGGCATCAAGGTCATCCATTTGCTCTGAGTGCTTGATTGAAATCTCGTTCCTTCAGGGTATGGCTACAAAGCAAAACCCACCCAAGAGACAAGTTAGTTTTGTGCCAGCGTCCAGAGCTGTGGTCTGTGGTCTGCTGCAGCAGATAGCCCAGGTACTGGAAGGTGTCCACTCCATGGCTTCACGTGAGAGGACACACAGCCAGCTCCCCGGAGAGAACTCCACGGCACACTTTTTTAGAGGGAGACAGAGAAGACTTTGCAGTCTGAAGGGCTGTTAGCTGTAAAAAAATTTATCTAGACCCAAATTGATTCACTTTAAAAATGCAATCATTACCTTCAGGTTTGCTTGCAGATAGCAGCTTGATCTGTAAAGAAACAGACTGGGTATCATTCAAAGATCATTTCTTTGCCTATAATTTTGGGTAACTTCTCCTCTGTCTACAGAGTATTATTATTAAATGCATTCGAAAAAGGAGCAGAAAATAGCAAGAGCCTAAAGTAGGCACATACGCTCCAGGTGCTATTTCCCTTACGCAGGCCATACCTGCAAGCGGTTAGCTTAGGGGCTCTCCTTTCCATAACATGATCACGAGCACATCCTATTATACTCATGTGCTATTCACAGATCTGATAACGAGTAAGAGATGCTCCAAATTGTAATGCAAAGTGTTGCTCTGGTGATCTACCCCCCCGGGCATGGTTCGTGCCAGATGATATTCATTAAATGCTTCGTGTTTAATGAGTGCAAAAAAAAGCCGAACCTAGCAAAGCATTACAGAATGGGCTTGAAATTAGGCTTAGTCTTCACTCAGCAGATCTTTTAAGACTGCTTAGAGTTAAACATCTGCTTAAACCCTCTTCATGAACCAAGGTCTCCTTTTTTTTTATTTCACTTGCCTTCTTCTCCTGGGACTTCATGACCTTGGGCTGCTCCCTGAGCCGGGTGCTGAGGGCATCCTTCTGCCGATCGACACTGCCCACAACTGCCTGCTGGTCCTGAAACGGGGCGGCACGAAGTGTCTTGTTCTTTTTCTTCAACTGAGATGGGCAGAAAAAGGAATGAGAAGGCTTGATCATGGTAAAAATGGGTTTGAAACCACCTCTTCCCTTCACCAGCAAAGGCAGCTTGCTGAATTTCTGTTCATTGTTGAGATGTCCTCCAAAGGGTGGATCTGGCCTTGCAGAAGACATGTGGCCAGCTTCAAAGTCTGCTGGTGGCAAGCTCGTGTCTTTGCATCGGCTGCGGCAGGACACAGCTTTGGTCGCTTTATTTCATTTATTCTAATAATAACTATACTCTGTTGCCCTGGCTTTGAAGTCCAACCAAGACTCTTTCTGGCTACCACTCACTGGGCTGATCTGCAGAGAGGGCACCCCTGTTTTTTCTGAAGAGACCTAACATATCTGGGGTTTGAAGCTAAGATGGAAAAAAACCATAAGGGAAACATCCAGGCCTTTTCTGAGCGAGGTGCCTGGGAGCTGCCAGGACATCTGGTACCCACCTGCACCTCCTGTGCCCAGTGCTCCCTCAGTGCCTGCCCTCACTCTGCCCTCTGCCAAATTAAACACACAGGCATTTCCCTCCTGGCACTGTGGGCTTGGGGCTTCTTGCGGGCATGGACACCCGATCATGTTCATACTCAAAGAAATTCAGCTTCCCATGGGTCCTGAAGAACAGCTGGCACTTTAACAGCAGTGCCCTTCCCACCCTGCTGCATGCTCAGAGGTACCATGCACGGTAAAGCCTTCTTCAGGTGATTTTAGATGTTGAGAAGGCAGCTGGTACATGGGTGAATAAATTCGTTTATTTGCTACTTCAAATGTTTTTCCGTGTGGTGAGCTTCTTCAGTGCCTTGGTGAAGATGGGTTTCCCTGCGGGAAGCAGGGCTGACCTGGGACTGTGTCATGCCCTCTGCACCCTCCAGGTCCTATTTCTGAGCTTGCACTGTCCATTCTCTACACCATCAGGAGCCCATTACTACCTGAGCCTGAGCTGAGACCAGACATCCATGAAGCAGATGCACATATTGATGCATGTACACAGGTCCACCTTCACCCAAATGCACCTTCTGGGATGTGCAGCAGGGCTAAGGACACAGGTACTACACTGCTCACCTGCACTGCCATCTGCTCCCAATTGCCCTGCAGCTCTGCTTGTTTTGGTGACTCCCACCATGCCTCTTCGGTGTCATCATCCCGCAGGGTCCCCAGGTTGGACACCGCCACCTCTCTGGCCTGAAGCTCCTGCAGTTTCTGGAGTGGGGAGAGGATGGAGCTGTGACCCACATGAGGACCTACTGTCCTCCCGGGGAGCCCCACCTTGGCCAGTTTCTGCCTCCAACCCCAAAACACACATGTGCCCCAGGAGAAAGAAATGAGGCCTCTTTAGGCTGTGAACCTGAAGGCCACCTGGGCCAGGTGAGGCAGCAAGCTTGGACGTCCCCTCGCCTGCCTTGAGGGACATGTGGGTGGCTCACTTACCCCCTCCATGGCACTGTTCCTGCTGGCCACCTCCTTGAACGCAGCAAGGAAGAGCTGCCTCAGGCCATCTATCTCTTCATGCAGCTTCGTCCTCTCCTCCTCTTTCCACCTTTCCAGATCTCTCCTGCCCTCCTCCTCTTGCTGGCGAGCTCTCTCTGTTCCCTAAAGGGAGAGCAAAATCAGAGCAAGAGATATCCTGGCTGCAGAGCAGAAGTGCCAAGGACTGGGGCTTCTGCCCTGACACCAGCGGTATGAGCACTGACACTCTCATTGCACCCATCACTGCTCAGAGCCTGCCTGCTCACCGTGGGGAGGCTGAGGCAGCACAGCCTCCTGGGCTGGCACACTTACAGAGTCCTTATTTCACACAGAATCACGCAGAATGGTAGGGGTTGGAAGGGACCTCTGTGGGTCACCCAGTCCAACCCTCCTGCCGAAGCAGGGTCACCCACAGTAGG